GATTCTATGATTCTATGAAATGTAGCTAATCCCACCTTAAATATTTTTTGATCAGTTACTGAATACGGACCAACTTCATTTTCTGACATGTAGACTCTTATTTTCAGTGAGTGTGACATTATTTAGCTTACACATGATTGAGTGTTATGGTGGTAAAGTTACATTTTACTTCTTGCATATCCTCAGACAGTGGTTTTGGCTTCTTTAGTGCTGAGTAAATGGCTATTATTCGTTCCCTCAAATTGTTTGGACACCTGTTAGTTGTACCATATGGTCTGAGGAATGTGAGTATTTTCTTTCAGCTTGTCAGAATTGAAAATAGATGAATGTGACTTTCAAAAGGCTCAGTCTTCAGACAAGCTATGGCCAGTACAATGTGGATGAAGGAGAATTTCAATTATCTTCCACCCACAGTTAAACTAGTGCTCTTAGCAATTTTGCTATACCCAGTGAGACCTCCTTTTTTGGGATTGATATTTCTGTACAGTGGATTTACCTTTATAGAAGGGGAAATGTGACTTTCCAAGGATCATTTTGCTAAATTATTCGCCTTTCTGTGAACTTCAGGGACTGCTTTTTGATAGGGTACTTTATGTAATCCTGTCTGAATGCTAACTTCATGTGACTTTATTTTTTGAAAAGCTATTCTTTCTAAGTTGGGCACTGAACATTTTACGTGTGCCAAATAATTGTACGGTACTTGGGTGCTAGCCCCACTGCTGTGCAGCTTTTGATGGGCTTTTATGTTGCCTGAATTTTTTCTGATCAGGGGAATGTTGAGCATTGACATAATTTTCACATGTCAGTGCAGTGCAATTAAGTATCTCTTAAAGGCAAAAAGGACCTTTTTTTACCGTAAAAAATGCTTTAATATATTCTTCTTGAAAGATCTTGGTAATAACTGATGGTAGTGGCTAGACAGAAAACAAGTAAAGAAAATTGGGTTGGTGTTGCTGTATGTGGCTGTATACTACTCCTTATGAAATTCTGCACTTAGAATTGCAAGCTGGCAGAAACTTGTGTAGGAGTTGGTGTCGCTGCTCCTCCAAAACAGTACTGTTGATATTTAATTTTCAACTTAATTACAATGTAAGCATCTTTCTCTTCCTCCTCCAAACTCAAACATGTGGTTTAGGAAAGTTGATTGGTGTTGGGTCTTTTGTCTTGGTGCTTCCAGTGCATAATAAAACTTTGAGGTATTTTATAGTCTTGCCTGTCAGTAAATTAATTTTTCGAGTTCCTTTTTATATGTTTTTAAGTGTGTTGGTAATACTGTGCACAACTATTTATTAATTTTATGACCTTTTAATTGGGGATAATGTGTAATTGGCTTTGTTATACAGAAAGGCAGTGTGGTATAAAACATATTGTATGTATTGTATTTAAGAGCTGAGTGGTTATATTTATCAGGACACTTAAGTACTTTAGCCTGAATCATCAGGAATGAGAAACCAGATTAAGGTGTAAGGAATACAGTGGAATGTCACTGCTTGACTGTGGAAATTATTATTGTCCTCTGTCAAATCTATACCTCTGCGTACCCACACAAGGATTTTTACTCTTGTATTTAATCCTTTCTGCTTTAATGCATACCTATAGGAAGTATTAAGAGTAGCTGCTAACCAGAACTGTCCCACCCTTACCCTAGGACTTTATCCCAACTTGGAATTACCTAAGTGCACCTCCAGACTGCTTCAGATAATGTCTTTTGGAAGAACTCTATGCCAGACCTGTCGTCTTTGAACCTGGGAAGCAGTGTTTACATAAAAATGCCTTGATTTATGAACAGTAAATGCAAATATCTTTACTTGTGTTTAGCTTATTGAACTTCTGAAGATGTTGTTTATAACAAGTTAATTCTCATATATAATAGTGTTTGTAGGATTGTAAGGATGGTTTGTGTTGGAATTTTTAAGAATGAAAGGATAAATTAAAACTGAGTGGGAATTTTCAGAAAACTGCTAATTTGCAGTTGTGTGTGTTGAATGCAGAATCTCCACTGCTTTGAACAGGAAATGTAAGACTTCAGCGTCAGTTTGAACAGTACTCTGATACTGGCAGATGAAGCACTAACACAGATTTGGGAGGGTTCTGTAGTTCTTAGTAGGGGAAGAAGCACTATGTAAATCTGGAGACAAAGTTCCATTTTTCTGATGCCTGAGGACCTGGAGAACTGTCTCAGATATTTTCTTATTAATTCAGTTATTCACTAACTTCTTTTGAATATCTTTCATTAGATTTTCTTCCTGGATGTTTCTTCAACTGTCTTGTGATGGAAGGGGAAATATTTTTGAAGTTATAATGGATTTTACGTGTCATCATAACCAAAACTGGCCTAATAGCAGCATTTCTGTTTGAAGAGAATAAGCGTAATTACAAACAACCATGACAACTTCTCATATGAATGGACATATTGCAGAAGATTCTGACAGTGAAGCAAAAAATGTGGATCTTGCATCTCCTGAGGAACCTCAGAAACACAGAGAAATGGCTGTTGATTGCCCTGGGGATTTGGGCTCCAGGATGATGCCCATGCGGCGGAGCGCTCAACTTGAGCGAATCCGTCAGCAGCAGGAGGACATGAGGCGCCGAAGGGAAGAAGAGGGAAAGAAACAAGAACTGGACCTTACTGCTTCCATGAGGCTAAAAAAACTAGCACAAATCCCTCCTAAAACTGGAATTGATAACCCGATATTTGACACAGAAGAAGGAATTGTTTTGGAGAGTCCTCATTACACTGTGAAAACACTAGGTAGGTAAAATGCAATTAGTGGACTAGTGGAGAAAATATTTAGTTGATATTAATGTTCTTTTAGGCCACTGGGAACCTAATTTAGCTAATTCTTCCTGTACAGATTTAAAGTCTTCTGAAACTTTGGAATTCTGGCGATTTGAGTTTTTTAGTTCACTAGGGCTTGATAGGCATCTATTTCAATCAGAGAAGTCATGACATAGTATGTTGGTATGCCTGTCAATGTTATTTCCTTGCCAGACAGAATTATAGTAACAATTTGGGTCAGTTAGACCTAAGATTCAAGGATTCAAGCAGAGAGGATTTATAATAGTTTAGTACTCCTGTTAAGAGTGGTGCTTTTGGTTATACTCAACTGATGTTGAATAGTTGTAAACTTAAAGAAAAAAAAGGTTGTAAATGAAATGTGAACTCTTAACCTATATAGTCCCTAAAGAATCTGTTCTGTCATGAGTGCTGTCAGAAATAAGTCATAATGAAAAAATGTCAAAAATTAGTCTTCATTTTAAATTTAACAAATTCCTTCTGCAGTAAGTTGGCCTCTTCCAAAATTTTCTTCCACTAATAAGCATGTCCTTTCTCCAGCTTCTGGATTAATCAATCTAACATCTGACAATTTTGCTGAATTTCAAAAGAATTTTTTAATTCTGAAAGCTGTTCCTGATTAATGTCAGGACTAGGGATGTTTCATTTATGAATATGTGTATATATACATATATATACAAACACACGCACGCTTACAAAATAATACGGTTTCGTACAGAGTATTTAAGTCAATTATCTTTAATACTTCTGCATTTTTGTTTAAAACCTAAACTGGAGAACCCAGATTTTCTAAAATTTACATCTACAACTGTCTCGTCTCCAAGGAACTTGCTAGCCCATGACTTTGTCTAAAAAATAAGTGCTAGTATGTGATGTTTTCTTACAATTTGTTTTATTATACTGAATTTCTAATCTAGACTGCTCCTGACTCTTTCCATCTTTCCACTTGTGCTGTCCAGGTGAGAGCGCTTAGTCACTTTCTCCAATCTCTAAGCCTTGTTAGGGCAACCCCAAATAAAACTGGGCAGGTGCTAGTGAATTATAAAGATGTTAAACTACCCTTATTCTGTCTCTTTAAAAATACTGATTTTAGTGTTTGTTTTGTGGGTTGGGGTTTTTTTTGGGGGTGCTGTAATCCATAGAGCCTCTGCTAAGATGGCCTTTTAAATAAGAATATTGACCTGAATGTCTGCGTTTTTAGGTTGGAAAATGTTTCATAAGTGCTAGTGTGTAACTTGGCAGTCTTTGCCAAGTCTTTAATCTTTTCATTATTGAAAAAAAAGGCAGATTACATTAAACAAATTGGGTTTTATTTATAAAAATAAAACAGAACACTTAATCAAAACAATTTTAAAGAGCATGTTTGTTATCAAAACAGAATGTGATTTGGAGAGCTGTCTTAGTGGCAACAACTTCCTGCGCACCTAGAACATGTGCATATAAGGATTTAACTGGCTTTTTCACAGCAGTGTACTTCTATAAAATCCAGAAGTGGTTTTGTTTGTTAGAGTGCATTCACCCAGTTTAATTAATTTAGTTAAACGAGTATCTGACTTTTCATGTAAGTAATGGTTTTGTGGCTACAGTGAATTTTTTTTTTTTAGGGCAAAAGCTGCCTATTTTTGGTTTTATACTTTCGGCAAAACTTATTTGTAAATATGTTACAAACATAAATAAACTTCCAGAAATAGTTTTGGATAAAACAATACTTTGCTTAGCCCTGTCATTCAGGTAATAGATGGAGAATTGGAGTGTGCTAGTACCAGCACACAGTGCTTTAGAGATCTATAAAAAAGCTTGGGAATTAAGATATTGGTGCTGACGTGTAATATCTTCTTGAGTTTGCTGTTCATAACTTTTTGTTTAAGGTGATAAACAGCAACTATTTTATTTTCTTTTTCTGATCTAACATGTTTAACTGTGACCATGGGTTCTCCCCTGCAGTTGCATATTTTGCCTTGCCAGTCTTTTGATTAATGCGTGTATCACACAGTGCTCGGTCACATTCCAGCCATTTCATAGACTAATGCAAAAAAGGCTGCAACACTCCTTGTAGAAGATGACTTTTAAAAAAATGTAGCTGATTGCTAATTTATCTGCGATGAAAATATGGACTTCTGCAAAAGAGCCCTGACATTTTTCTGTGAGTAAATGCAGATATTAGTCTTTTACAGAATATTTTTTTTTTCCCTCCTCAAGACAACCTTTTCAATAGGAAAGATTCATCTAGAGATGGAATTTTTTCTTACCTGGAATTTATGGGGTTTTTTTTAAAGACAAACAGAACACAAAAAATCTGCACTGAAATCTAATCTGTGATTTAGAATTCAGAAAGAGGAACCTAGAGTTAGTCATGTGTAAAAGCCGGATTTGTATGTGGGTTTAGTGTATTTTTTATTAAACAAGTGACTAGGAAATGGACTGCTAGCTTTTGGGAAATAGCCAACCCTTTTTCATTTCACTCCTTTCAAGAATTTTCTTTTAGAATCGTGATGAGGGAGGTATTTGTTTACTGTTTCATGGTTGGGGGCAAATCACTTGGTATGGGGCTTTTGCATCCAGCACAGATTCAGTGTTAGAAGGGAAATATATGGGGAGGAGAATACCATGGTAGTTTGTAAGAAAGGGTGTTGCAGAACAAAGAGCTGAAAATGGAGTATGTAGAGGCATCTCGGAACGAGACAGCTTTATTATAGATACAGAATGTCTGCCTTTCTATATGTATTTATATCTTGTGTGGAACACGTATCAGAATTTTGTGTGTACATGTGTTTATGTATTTGAATTCTCAGATATATAAGGGGGTATAGGCGCTTTGGAAATAATCGAATAAAATAATTTATACATAGGAAGAGTTAAAAGTAGCTAGGTTCTTCTCCAATGCCTCAGTTTCTTGAATCTGGTAACAGTAACAAATAGTATTTTGGGTTGGTTTGTTTTTTAACTGAGCAGATATCAGTAGGAACTTCACAATAACATCTGACTGTTTTAGGCTACTTTTTTTTTTTTTTCCCTTAATGCTTGAAAAAAGTGCACTTCCTCAGACCTGGAAGAATCAGTAGCCTGAGATGCTTTGGTAGTCTGCGTACTCCAGAAGGCAAGAGGGTTGCCAGCTGACGACATCCTATTTAGCAAATATTCTTACTGGCAGAGCGCTGTTTATCCTTTTCTCCAAGTGCATTTCCCCCTGTTTGATAGGCAGTGTATTGTGTATACAGTTCCCTAGCGAGACGCTGGCTGCCTTAGTGTTGTGAGCTGTACTGGCTTTCACCTGTGGAATATCCTGCACAGCCGGTACCTGGGCTTCCCGTGCAGCTTTTGTACGGCTGCCCTTTGTTGCCTTGGTGGTTACAGGAAGAAGCCCTTGCCCTTTGGTGGGTAGGATCTTTTTAGCATGTGTGGAATGGTTTTGGAGTTGTTGGAGGTTTTTTTAGTTGTTCTGCAGGCAGTAAATTACAAGAGTAGTAGCTCTGGATTGTTTGTTTCCTTTTATTATATGTAAGATTGACTGCAAGCTCGAAGTTGAAAACATATAGGTAGATGTGCTTTGTCCAAAATTAAAACCATTAAACTGGTTTGAAATGTGTATTTTGTTAGGCTTTATGGTTTTCATGTGCCCGTTTATCAAACACTTCAATCTTGTGCTTGACAAGTTTCAGTCTAGCACTGTGTTCAGTGTACTGTTGAATTTGAGGTTAGGAACAGGTAGACTTCTTGACAGAATGAATGCATGTTAGTGATCAGTATCTACTGTGACATTTTTTTGCATGTAAAAATGCAAATTAGCTGATGTCTTGATAGCATTCCTATTTTAATGTTATTTACTTAGCTCGTAATGAATAAATGAAGGTTCCTAAACCTTAAAAATAATTCTCAAAGCTGCTATTTTGATACCAGTAAGGGAGATTGACCTCAGTATCAACTGACAGTTTTAAAATTTGGGATTTTCTTTGTTGTTCATTTTTTAAAAAATACCAGGATTCAAAACTCTAGCATGCTTGAATTTACTAAAAGACAGCTGACCAGCCTCTTGTGGCTGAACAGATCTTTCCGTTTTTTCAGATACTGTGAGGGAATGCATACAGTATTTCAGGCTCAAAACATACACTTGTTTCTTTGGCCTGCCTGAGGTTTTCTTACCTGGATTTATACTCACTTTTAGGTATGAGTCATATTCCTTGATTTAGGTAGTTTTGCAAGTACTTAATATTGAGAAGTGACATTTTTTCAGAAATTTGGATTGGATTAAGGAAAAAAAGCTAAATTTGTTGACAGTCTTTAAAAAGCACCTCTACAGCTTCGGATTAGTTTTTGAGGCTCAAGAATGTAGTACTTGTGTACTATTCTGCAAATATGCAGAAACCAGTTATTAAATTTGTTAAAATACTTCATGATCCAAGCAGAACTCATGATTTCGTAGGTAAAAGATGTGGACTTTCTTCTGGTGCAGATGAATTTCAGAACTCTGACCATAGATGATGTATTTTTTTCATCCTTTTTATTTTAATGTGCTAAGACTGAGCATAATTTTAGGTTTAGAAATTGTGTTGTTTACTTACCAAGCACTCATTCTATAAGAAAGCAATATTTAGTTGACAGATACGTATATCCCATACGTGTCAGATATACATGGAAAAGTATATAAAAATAACAGTCAATATGTGATGCATCAACATTAGTTTAGCAAAGGAGTTATTTTCATATTGCAAATTGGTCGCTCTTTTCCATTGAGCTATACACAAGCTGCAGTTATTGGAACTTTTACGTATTGGTGATTTCTTTCAGAGAAGAACTGCTCTGCAATAGGAATTTAAATTTAAACAGTATATCAGCTTTTTTATTTCTCCTTTTACTGTGACTTGGGGTCCTTTTTTTTGATTCAGATACATTCTGCTAATAAAATTGGAGTGAATAATGGGTAACTAATCAATTTGCATACATCATTGCTGATTACAAACTGAACACCAAAATTAAAAATAAAATACTACTTAATTATGAACCTTGTTAACTCATACCTTATTTTTATTATTTCGTACCTAGAAGTGGAAGAACTGCTAACTTCCCTTAAGCATATCCAGCACATTTTGGTAGACCCTCAGAGCCAAGAGGATATCTCTCTCATTTTACAGCTTGTTCAAAATACTGATTTTCAGAATGCATTTAAGATACACAATGCTGTTACAGTGCACATGAACAAAGCCAGCCCTCCGTATCCTCTCATCTCCAACGCACAAGAACTAGTGCAAGAGGTATGTACAGTATGCATCTCTCTGATATGTATGAAACCTATAATCATAGCTGTTGTTGAAATATGTACTTGTCAAGCTTGTCTGAGTTACTGAATGTTGAATATGAAAGGGATTATAATTGTCACTGATTGCTGTATCCGGTTTTTCCAGATTTCCAAACAGTAACTAGAAAAATATTCTGGGGGATACGAATTCCCTCTTTAGCATGGATAGGTATGTCACAGAAAAGGTACTCTGTTTAAACAAAAGGGAGCAGTTATGAAAATCTGACTCTTTTACCTTCAATATTCTTTATTCCAAGCATTCAGGAATTGAATCACGGTTCTCTATTATTGTGACTTTCTTCTGAGTTGAGCCATGGTTCTTAAAATGGGAGTCATCTCTGGAAATGCAGCCATACTGGAAATGAGCATTCTGCTTTAAAGTGAGCAGCAGAACCCTTAATACTTAATTTCAAGGTTCTAATTACTGCTGTGATGGTCAGATTACACTTAATTTGTCTGACAGATGACAGCTCTTTTATAAGATCTGATACGTCTTTCAGAAATTAATAAAGTATACTTGAGCAAGACTTTTTTTATTTCAATCTTTTCAGTTGGATTTTTAATTTCAATCTTTTCAGTCAGATTTTAACTGTTTGGAATACTTTTACAGTTTCAGCCAGGTTAACTACTTTCTTTGAGGCTTATTCACTTGCATATAGATGTGCAATACCTGTATCTAATAGCTTTATAGGCTTTAGTAGACATTTACAGAAAACTCATCAGGTACAGAGTTGCTGAGAACAGAGTGAGTTTTCACACAGATGCAGCCAAGACCCTCTGAGGAGTTGCTGAACAACTTTATCTTCATTTTCCATGGCCTGGTGTATGTATATATTGCAGTGAAGTGTGGCTATCCCTTAGATGGATATATATTTGTTAACTTAAAGCTAGCTAGCTTGAATGCCAGTATCGGTGTCAGTGTAGCACTGTAGTGGTCCGCAAAGTTGGGGGTTGGAACTAGATGATCTTCAAGGTCCCTTCCAACCCAAACCATTCCATGATGCTATGAAAGAGACTCCAGCATTTAGCACCCAGTGAACCAAACTTACCTGTTCCAAACTGGCTCAGGTACACCGGTTGGAGTACCTGAGCTGGTATGTAGCCATTCTCCAGTTGCTGAAAAGCACATCACTCCAATTTCAGCATGGCAGCAAGTTTATTTTCTTTTCTTGGTGTCTGGTTTTCTTTCTGCCTGAAGCAATTTTTTTTCAACAGCTCTTTCCACTCTCCTTCCTTATTTTAGACTTTAACCTTGCATGTCAAGGAAAATAGCATTGTGGCAAGCTTGAAGTTCTTTTGCAGAAGAAATTACTCATTCTTGAGAGACGTCATTTAAATGTTATCTAAAGGTGCAGTGAGCTGACTAAACCAGCTCAGGATTTTCCTGTTTAGGTTTGTCATTAAGAGTGTGCCAAAACCAGGTGGGAGTATTTTACATATGAGCTTCCCAGTGGCTTATTCATCAGCCTGTAGGCTTGCTGTAGGATCCTCACTATGCTGCTTCTATGTCTGTGAACCTGAAGGAACCTTTTCAGTTAACTTCTGTTTGTAAACTACTTCCTGAAACACCACTTTACACAGGCCTAGCTTGGGATTTCATTCAGGTACAAGCCAGAGTTTTTGAATCTTCATTTATACTATAGGATGTTACAGATTTGTCTCTTAAGAAAGCTGTTTTCCCCCTTTAATGAGTGTGATGTCCTTTATTTTCTTCTTTGAAACTTCTATTGAGCAGCAAATAATACTTAGCAAAACTCTAAGTCTGTTTTCAAGCTTTCGTATTCTTCCCCATCTTCCCTACTCCTCACCTTCCCAACACATTCCTCTCTTTTCAGGTGATTTGTTAAATCCTAAAATCAGAATCTGGTGCAGACCCAGTTTTGTGTCTTTTAGCAATCCATGAAGGTTAAACACAAAGAAAATATTTCTTCAGTCTGAAGTATTTAAACCAATAGTATTTTGTCATAACCCTGGAGACTATTACATAAAAGGCAAAAATATTCCTGCACTCATTTTAATTCTTCATTGCCCATCCCTGTCTTGTCCAGCCTTGAAATTCCTGAAAAGTCAATATATTGCATATGTCTGTTCCTATTTTCACATGTGATCTAGTTTCTTGGTGATTCAGCTTCTGGTGTATTTAAGTGACTTGTATTTTGCAATATGTTAAATAGCATCCTGAAATGATCAAGCTGGAAATTCAGGACAAATATTTCTGTGACAGACAGAAGTGTCTCAAGAGGAACATCTTGAGACCTCCATTCACATCATTTGTACTTCCTAGTCTTACATGAAGAGAAGATCTTATGCTCATTTTTTCAGATCCTTTATCCTTTTAGAAAGGCTTCTGTATTTGCTATGGTAGCAATATGGGAGGAATTTATTTCTGCTTCAGGAAAAGTTGGGTTTGGGGGTTTGTTGGGGTTGGTTTGTTTGTTTGTTTTTTGGTCCATCTTGCATGCCTGGCATTTTTCTTGTACTGTGATTTTTTTCTGTTGACTCTTGCTTTTTCCATCCCTAAACATAGGCATGGGAAGCTCCACCAGAAAGTAGTTCATTCATTTACTTCAGGATGTTTTTGAAGACACTTGTAAGAGCCTGGATTTAATATACTGATAACATTTTGATAAAAGCCACAAGGCGTTACAAGAAAGAAAAATAGCAGATACGTGCATTAACATTAATTCTAAATGGCAAGTAATACTAACGTGCATATTTTAGTGCACAGGTCATCAGTGCCAGTGGATAACTCTGAATCTGTTTTGCAGTCCCTGTCTTAATTTAAAGCTACAGACATGTTTTGGGGCTTTATGCTGTAGAAGAGAACCTGCTCTAGAGCTCACACTACTGTAGCTCTAACAGAAAAAGACGGTTTGCAGCACGAGTGTATATGAAATTGAAACATCCTCCCTCTAAAAAAAAAAAAGTAAAAATTAATATTTAAACTACACTTTTGGGAATGTGTTTTGGGGGGGACTATCATTTGCTACACTGAACTTAGTTTTAAAAAAATCTGGTTTCATTTACTCTTTAATTGATTATTTGGTTTTATAAAACAATGTGTATGGACAGTGTTGTAAAAACTTTGGGTTTTTTTTAAAATTTTTTTAAACATCAACAATACATGAGCGGAATGGTAACATGTTTGTATTCTACACCTCAGGATATTCTCTAAAATTAGTAAGACAGTTGTACAGTTAACTTTTCCCACCAATTCTGGTAACCAAGCACCAATAACTTTTTCCTTTTTTTAAAAAGAAACTTTAATTGAATTAAAAAGGTGGAATGAAGCACTTGAGCTTAAGGAATTTACTTTAGAGAGCTAATCTTCATGTAATGTGGTGTACTCAAAGTCTTAAAAATAGCCATTAAACATCAAGTATAATTAAATTGATTTTAAATCCATTTAAACTTGACCAAGATGGGGGCAAGGATTATGGGAACATGGTCTGAATCTTGACCTTATAAGAATATTTGATGCAGCATTCAAGACAGTTTGTAATTTTTGGCCTGCAACAGCACCTATCAAATACCTTAAAGATGTTCTTGCTATTAAATATACTTAATAGGCTCAATTTATATAGGCTATGTTTCTAAAGGTTTTGGACTTGCTGCTGTTCACTGCAGCATGTGCAAGCAGTTAAACTAGATCAGTACTTGTGAGAGGATACACTGGAAGCTTGTAACTTCTGGTATAAATGCATTACAGTGTGTATGTATATCCCTCCTGACAGTCCTGCTTGCCAGAGAGTGAACAATAGGATTTTGCAGGTGAAGTTAAATTGTGAATGTTTAATATCACTTCAGTGTGTGCCTCCACTGTACACACCTCCAAATTGTGGCGCATATCATGAAGCCAAATTGATAGATTTTTGGCGTCTGCTTGAACTAAAGTTAATATAATTAACAATAAAAACTAGGCCAAAGAGTGAAGAAAATACTCTCAGGCCATCATTTAGTGTGGATTGCCTGTGCTGTCCGTAGTGGGTCACTTCCGGAATGACAGCCTACCTTCAAATTTCTTCGTCTGATAAAACTCTGGGATTCATTACCATGAGTAACGAAAGTAAACTGACATGAGGCAATACTGGTAAGTGGTGTGTGTAACAGCCTGAAGGTCTTCTAGTGCTTCATTAAATAAGCAAATAATAAATGTACCTTCCTCTCAAAAGGAGGGGAGGAGGCATTAAGGTTTTGAATAAGTAAGTTATTCAAAGCAGAAATTCAGATTGGATAAAGGATATTCACCCCACACAGAATGACTGGTTGGGCCTGCTTGCTTTCTTTTCCTCTGTCAAATTCCCAACCTCTGACCTTGCATTTGAAAGGTGGTCTTGCTTGCAGGACTTCCAAGTTGATTTCTGTCAGTAGGTTTTCCTCTAAAAGGGTCACAAAGATTGGATTATTAAGGCTTTAAAGCCTCTTGCAGCTTCTTCAAGAAAGGAATTGAAAGTCCTGTGAAAGTTGGAGATACTAAATAAACCTCTCAAGAAGGTGTTGTAGAGAAGGCTCTCTGTCTTTCGACACAGAGGCGAATTTGTGAAATGTGTCCCTTACAGTGGTCTGTCTGCTATATGGCATCCCAAAATTCAGGCTAAGCAGAGGATAATAGCTGCCTGGCCAGTTCAGAAGTATGACTGAGGTCAGGCCTATATGAAACTGAATTCTTTCTGTTCTCCAGGGTTTTAAAGAAATCACTTAAACTTACTTAAATGTGCCTTCTTGTGTGACTTTTCGAAGCTTTTTCATGGTGAACTAGGTTTGTTCACCATGAGGCATGTTGTGGGGATATAAGAAGGAAGGCCTTTGGAGGTTGTGGCAGGCATTACTGCTAGGTGCAGGAATTTGTTCCATGTGACCCTGTTTTGTTGGCAGTATAAGCCTCTTGCTCCATGGGAACAGTTTATTTAGTAGCTTCTGCTAGAATTTAATGTTACATTTACTCTTTTCAGTACTGTTATCTGGGACCATCCAAGAGAGTTGTTGGTGTTTCTGTAGATAATTGCTCCTACGATAGAGGGTCTTCAGACCGTTAGGTATTGTTAGATCACACAAAAAGCTTAATTATTTTCACTTTGGAACTTGCGGATTTTTGGTTCTCTGTGAATTCACATTACCTCATTCTTCAGAGGAAAAAGCTCTTGAAAAAAGTCTTTTCTGTCACACTGAAAGCTGCTCTTCTGATATGTATAAACTACTCTTAATGTCTCTGGATTCATTCAGTGTGCCTCTGGTCAGATTAGGCCAGAGGATAATGGCTGTGGAAAGTATCTTCACCCTCGCTTTTGGATAAGAGGGACTTCCTGTTCCTGGCTTTTTGTGTAAGCACACCAGGATTTTCTAGCATTTGCAAGAGATGATGGCAAGGCATGTTTGGTAACTGCATGAGAAGGCAAACCTTTTTAGGCAACTGAAGCTGCTTGAGCAAAAACTGTCCTTGCGTTAATGTGGATTATTTTGAAGCCAGCCAAAGAAACCTGGTTTGTTGGGACCTTTTGAAGTTTTGACTCCTACACTGTCTCTGGGATGCATTGCAAAAGCTGTTTTGGAATCTTAGGTCTTGCTGTTGGTGGAAATAGGTTGGGTAAAAATAAACCATCTGCTTTTAAAGAAAGGGGAGGCTGGTCAAGTTAAGGAGAAAGTAGTCCATTTTAAAAGACCCAGCATACTCACATAATAGACTTCTTTGTGACTGTTTTCACTATCACTTTCCTTTCTAGTCTTTCATTTTTTTTGTGTGCATCTTTGTGGTGGCTGAGCTCATTGCCTGTCTCTGGTACTGATAAATCTCTCTGCTCCACTGGATACCAGCTTAGATTTAGTAGACAGTTCCTGAAGCAAGATACGCTGGTGTAGTCCTGTGGTCTCATCACACGTTTTCCTAATGTGTACCAGGTGAAGTTCAATCAAGTCAGTGTAACAGTGTGGATATACTTTACTTTCAGTAAAATGAATAATTGCAACTCAGGGTTTGTGTTTGAGTAGCAGAGAGTGGATTGATAAAACACTGGGTAGATTAAGACTTTTACTACTTGATTTCCTTATAGGTACAGAGTGTTTTGAAGCCCAGTCACCACAAGGATGGGCAGGAGCTTAATGCTTTGCTGAACGCCCCTCATATGCAGGTAAAACAAAATGGAACTTCTAATCTAAGGGATTTATTCCTTGGTGCCGTTTTCAGTATAACTTTTGGGTTTTTTGCAGATGTTTTAGGCTGACTGGGCAAGGATGGATTTTATTCTTCAACTCTGTGCAGACCTCACTATTTTTCTAGGATGAGGAGTTTCCCGTTTCCAGCAACTAGTGGAAACATCTAATCAAGTGTAGTGTGTGATTGCATTCAGGCCTTACTACATTCTACATATATTACAGGGTAATTTGAACATACACAATGTAGCAAATAGATCAGTAGGGTCAGGGCAACAATGAGCTGCTTTACTTATCCATTTTCTTCTTTGACAGCTGTTTCATGCTTATGATAGGGTGCATAAAGGAAATTTTGTCCTGTGTTGATGTTGTAAATACATGAGTAGTTTTTTATTGCAGTAGCTGCGTATGTCTGTAACCTCAATCACATGCATAGTAAACCAATGTCTGTTTTTTAAGGAGGGAGAAGCTCTAAGTACAGTCACAGTTTTGCGTTCAAAATTGCTTTTTTATTCTTTTCCAATCTGAAAAAAAAAAGTTTTGGAAAGTATGTAGGAGTAGGCACTACATAGCTGTGATAAAAGATTTTTTTATTGCTTGAGTCAGTTTACAGTACACTGTAACCTGCAAAGACTCTTCAAATTGCAGGATTTCATTGAACTCTGCTATTTTGCATATATATAAAGTGTGACACTTTCTGTAACTGAGCTGATATTGTTTAACACTAGGCACTTTTACTGGCTCATGACAAGGTGGCGGAACAAGAAATGCAGCCAGAGCCTGTGACAGATGAAAAAATTTATGAGAACATTGGCGTGTACGGAGGGGAAACAGTTAAAATAGTTCGCATTGAGAAAGCTCGGGATATTCCGTTGGTAAGTACTGATGCTCGGTTATATGTAAAGGAAGTAAGCTTTTTTGACCTTTGCAGACTGCCATGAAAGTTTTGAAATTTTAATGTGGAGGTGATGTTCAACTTGTAAACACTCTCCCTCCATCCAAAAGGAAGAAAGTCATAGATGATCAACTTGTTATGTGTCTTCATATAGCAGTAGCCGTATAACTTTTAGAATCTACACAACTTGGGTTTGGACAGGACTTCTTAACAGAAGTCTCTATCCCAAGCTTTGCTGCAGGGGAGCTTATAACCTTGTACCAACCATGTGGGTTTTGTTTTGGGTTTTTTTGCAACTCTCATCTTCTGTTTTGCATCTTTCAAATAAGTGCTTCCTTAGGAAAACATTTTTTTTTAATAAAAAGTCATGAGTCTTATAGTATGAAGCAATTCAATTCTTCAATCTTTAGTGCAGCTTGAATTAAATAAATAGTATGTTTTCAAACTGGAGCAGTGTGTATATCCATCCAAGCTGTTACTTGCATTCTCTTTCATCATAGGAGTGTTTCTGTGCTGTCTTGGAATATATACAATAGATGGCTTTGAGTTTCATCCATATAATAAATTCAGAATGTGTTGCTACTACACAGGGTGCTACTGTTCGCAATGAAATGGATTCTGTTATCATTAGTCGAATAGTGAAAGGAGGGGCCGCAGAGAAGAGTGGGCTGTTACATGAAGGGGACGAAGTTCTGGAGATTAATGGCATTGAGATTCGTGGAAAAGATGTTAATGAAGTTTTTGACTTGTTGGTGAGTTGGACACTTTTTATTTTCCCTGCAAAAAATACTCATTTCATAAGATGGAAGTCTGTTAGCTCTGCTTGTCATTTGGCCTCATATTTAGCATTAGTTTGAAAGTATTTTCATTCTGATAGCTAATGTTTATATGTAGAGGGCCCTTTCAAGTTTTCCTTTTTGATGCCTCGTATGATACTAAGAAGTTTAATGGCAGTTGCTGCAGAAATGAAGCTTACAAAGGTGGAAGAGTTAAGCTATCATCCTGAGACTTGCTTTTAATGCTTTATAAGAAAAACTTTGTTTAGCTCTGAAAAGCCGTGATTTTTTCATCTTTGTCTGGTTGAGGCTATGATGAATAAATGTGTGGCTGTGTGGTTGTGATATTGTCTAGCTGGGATGGAGTTGGTTTTCTTCATAGCAGCTTACATGATGCTGTGTTTTAGGCTGGTTTTAGACTAAAACAGTGTTGATAACACACCAATGTTTGAGCTGTTGTAGAACAGTGCTTGCACAGTGTCAAGGCCTTCCCTGTTTCTCATTCTGTCCCCCGCCCACACACAGGCTGGGGGTGAGCAAGCGGTTGAGGGGGGGAACATGGCTGGGACAGCTGACCCCAGTTGACCACAGTGATATATCCTGCCATATAACATCATGCTGAGCAAAAAAAACCTGAGTGGTGAGTGACTGCCTTTGCAGCACTTGTTGGATTGAGGTTTTTTCCTTCGCTAGTTAAATTGTCTTTACCTCGAGCTGTGAGTTTTTCTTGTTTTGGTCTTCCAAGTGTCTCCCCCATCCTGCTAGAGAAGGGGAGTGAGTGAGGAGCTGGTGGGTGCTTAGATGCTGGCCAGACTTAACCCACCACAAATTGTATCACATGGGACCTTTACATGACATGACACAACTTCCTACTCTTTGCCTTCTGATAAAACCCTTTTGTCTAGCAGTTTACAGCATAGATACTTGTTTGTTACACTTTTACTATACATGACAGCAGCTAGTCAAAACAACAGACAAGAAATCCATCAGGAACTAGTAAATGCAGACACATTCTCTCAAAGGCCCTGTGGGGTGGAATGTCAAAAGCTAGGAATTACCAGTATTTTCTGTCACCCAATATTGCTCTCTTCACATGCTTTTGCCTGGCACTTGCTGTTGATCCGTGTCCAAGATGGGACACTTAGAACCTGGCTATGAATCTTGGGTCTGATTGCAGTGGGCAAGACCATTCTGTCAAAGTGAAAACAGATGAAAATGACAATTTTCTTAAAAAATTAATTTATAACTTTGATAGAGAACATTGGAAATATCCACCAGCACTTATTTAATAGGTCTTTGAGGGGAAAAAAAAGAAATACATTTCATAGGTCTTTGAATCACTTAGTAGATCTATGCTCTATAGATGAATCAAAATCAAGACAAAGACCTTGGTTCTGCTGTAGGTTGGATTGTTGTAGGAAAAACAGGCAGTGATATCCACAGATAAAGATGTCTCATGCTACAGTAGGACTGAATGGACAATTTCCATGTTTAGTTGGATTTTTTTCTGAAATTTGTTGTTAAAAATTTTCAGCTATTGCATGGATTGAAGTCAGGTGGAGGGAAGTAGAGGCAGAAATATGTGGACGGGGTGGTTGTTTTTTTCTTAAGCCATTTAAAAAGGTTCTTAGTTATTTGAAAAGCCTTTAATCTCTATATGTGTTGGATCAGAGTTATCTGAGATTCTTCACGCTCTGTAATTGTCTCCATTGCCATCCTTACGGCTTTTTTTTTAAAGCCATATTTAGCTAAGTCCTATGCTTCCGAAAAGAGTGTTTTGTAGGTGCTCGACAGATAATTCTGGCAGTTTACTTCTCTGCAGAGAGCTTGTTCTGTTCTTGAGCAGCTCCTGCAGCCTAGAGTTACAGAATAAAAGATTTAAAATGACAATACAGTAACATAGGAGTAAAGTATGTGCTGAAAATTAAAAAAAAAAAAAAATTAAATCATTAATTTAAAATACTATTTTTAATTCTCTATATATTGTCTTCTGTATTTTGTAATGTGGAATGGAAGTTTTAAAATGCTTCAGTCCCCAAAAAATAGTTAAAACAAGCAAAGGAGAAGGAAGTCAAGAGAATCAGGAGCATGGGTAGTGTTATCCTCAATCCCTTTACTGGCAGGGAAG